CTCCAGGCTTGTTCAGCAAGCACCCACACCCCCTGAGCCATCTTACCACCTCTGTTCTGTGCGTTCTCATGGGAGATATTTGGGCTTAAAGACAAGATAGTAAATGTTCAGACGTACAAAGGGTTTCTGTCCAGGATGTGATAACGTTTGTTCTTTCAGCCATCCCTGCAGCTACACAAGCTAGAGGTTTGCTCCGGTTTGGTTTTCCTCTAAAATACAGAGTTGGGAAAAAGAGGAAAGACACGAAGGAAGAGTAGAGGCAGGAAGAGGTGCATGTATATGGCTCAGTGACATGGGCACAGCACTCTCTTGGAAGAGAGGCCCAGGCCCATCTTCAAAGAGCCCAACACTATGTCCAGGCCATGGGAGTCTCACAGCGGTACTGGCCCCAAGCTGCCTGCTTCAAGTGTCTGACCCCAACCGTCCCCCAAGAGGAGGGCAGCTGGCCTCAGTCAGGGAGGATAGTCTAGGGCTCCACAAACAAAAGTGAGATGTTGGAAACCGGTTGAACTGTGGAGATAGAGCAGGTTACAAGACAGGCAACAACCTTTTGAGTGTAGGGGAGAATAAGGCAAGAAGGGCCCGGGGTGGGCAACAGGCCTCTGGTTCCTGCATATGGTCAGAATGGCTCTCTGCTTTCTCTAGACTCCTAGTAGAACCTGGTACCCATTACACAGCACCTGTGTGTCCCTGGTAGAAGCATTGGTGGTGTCCTCACCAATTACATCCTTCCTCACACCCTAAGTCAGCATCGTGATATGAATTAGTGGTTTTGTTGTTGTTTTGTGTCTTCTGAAATATTTTTATTTATTTCATACATCTGTCCCCTACAGTCCCTTCCTCCAACCCCTACCATACCCCTTCCCACCTTCATCTTCATGTCCTTTACTAAATACATCTCCCAAAGTCCAGTTAGTGCTGCCTGCATGCACGTGGGTGTGGGGTCGTCCACTGGAGCATGGGCACCCTGTCGGGGCCACACTTCTAAGAAAATTCACTCTCCCTTCCCCACCAACGATCAGCTACCCGTGGCTCCTTAGCTGGGTGTGGTAGCGCCACCTCCATCTGAACCAAACTGTTGGGTGGCTTAATCTTGTGCTGGTCCCCAGCCGTTGTGAGTTCCTGGGTATAACAGATGTGTCATGTCCAGAAGATGGCATTTTACAGCACTTTTCCCCATCCTCCAGATCTTAATTCTTTCCAGCTTCCCTTCTACACTGTTCCCAAGCTTTGATGGGCAGGGGTGGTGTTGGTGTTGATAAAGATGTTTCGTTTAAGGCTTAGCACTCAACGGTTACTTATCCTCAGCTCTTGGACTAGCCTTGAGTCTCTGTGTTAATCACTGCCCACTGCAGAAAGTCTCTGACCAAGGTTGAGAGCAGCACAGTCTGTGGGTATAAACATATCTAATCAAAAGGCAGTTTGATAACATGGACATTTAGCAAAACAACAGTAGAAGGTTCCCCTAGGGCTTAAGACCTCCGCAGCCTTGGACTTTTCACCAGGGTTACAGCATCAGACATGAATTTCCCCTGGAGAGCACCCTCAGATCCCATCAGAAACTAGTTGGTCATGGGCTGGTTAGAAGGGGAAAAGTTGATTATTCCCAGAAGAGTCATGCCACTATTACACCCCCAGGCATATCTTGCCGGTATAATAGTAGCATTTTGTATTGTAACAAATCAGGGTCCAGCACTGGATAAGACCACACTGTCTTTTCTCCCCCAGCAACCTGCATATACCTTCGGGGCACTGTAAGACATGGTAGATTTTCCTGGTCATTTGCAGATTGATTTCTCTATGTCCTACAACAGTGGTTCTCAACCTTCCTAAAGCTGCAACCCTTTAATACAGTTCCTCGTTTTGTGGTGACCCCCATCCATACAATTGTTTTGTTTTTTTTTTTTGGTACTTCATAACTGTAGTTTTGCTACTATTATGAATTATAATGTGAATGTCTGTGGTTTCTGATGGTCTTAAGTGACCCCTGTGAAAGGGTTGTTCGACCTTCAAAGGGTTCACAACTCACAAGTTGAGAACCCCTGTCCTGTAACCAAAGTGCAACACTCAGACTTACCATGTAGTTAAGGTGGATGACCAAGAGCATAGATAATAGTCTGTATTGTTTGGGGGGCCTCGAGTCTCTCTGACGAATAAGTTAGAGAGCGGTATCCTATGCTTAGCACTGAGATTTTCATTTAGTTCATGTTTTCTTGGAGCACCATTGCCCACCTATTAGGGTACCACTATTTAAACTTCTTTTTAAATTATTATTATATTTTTAAATTAGCTTACATAGCAGTGAGTTTCTAGTTTGGGCTAGCCTACCCCTCCTCCTTTCTACATCCCTGCTCTCCATCCTTCATCAAACCTTTAACTTTAGTGTTCTCTCCCTCTCTTGGAATATCACGTGTGTTTGCTGACTCTTCTCTGCATTAAGGCTTCTCCCCTCGTTCTTCCTGCTGAGAGACAAACAGGGTCCTGTCGGGATGGGTCCCACTCCCCTCACTACTCCAAGCAGTGCTGGCACCCACTGGGTGAGCAGGAAGAAGAAGGGCAGAAGGGGCAAAGCTGAGCACAGCCTGTGACCCAGCCAGACTCAGCCCTCGCCGCTGTGAATGCTGTGAACGGGCTTCACTCCTCAGGCACCTTCCCTCACAGCAGCCCTTTTAAAAGTAGATAAGCTGCCGGCCGTTGGCATTGCTGTTAAGATGGGACTTTCTCTGTAAATTAATATTTAAATTAAATGCAATTCCAACTAGAGGGAAGACAGATTTTTTTTTTTTTTCGTGGAATTTGGCCGGAGGATACAGCAAATTTTACATAAGAGGAATATGAAAAAGCTAATGGAATTTTTAAAAGAATGTCAATAAAACTTTGTTATTAAAAGTCATATGAATCAAAGGTATATAGGAATAGATGTTTATTTTTAAACCTATGGAAAAGAGTAGGTGGTTTCCCACTGTTTCCCTAGGCTGACCCGTGTGCTCTGTGATGTGACGCAGCTTGCACAGGAAGTGGTGGACTATTTCATGACAGACCAGTCAGCCTTGTAGGAAAGTCAGAGCAGAGACTGTACTTCTCAGACCATCCCACACAGCACTGGGAAGGACACAGCCCAGGGAGTCTGGGTCAAGCTGTGCGAGTGGAAAGGAAGGAGCAGCAACAGGCCGCAAGAGGGAAGCCCACAGCGATAGCCAAGCACAGGGCCCCACAGACATAAAAATGAAAGAACAGAGTCCAATTCCAGTAGAGAAGACTTCTTCCCAGCCTGGGCCACTGGGCAGAGTTCTCCGGCCCTGCAGGATGCCAGGCCCACAGAACTCTCCACATTCCTCTCCGGGGTAACTGATTTCCTCTCGGTGACTTCCTTCTGTCAGCCCAGGGTTTGGACACCCTTTATACTTTCACTGTGTAAGCAGTGTAGCCCAAGTTACAATTCCACATGGGAGACGGGTCTTCCTAATGAGCAGGTGCTTCATTGGCTGCTACTTCCCAGGTTTCCTTTGCAACCTGAGTTCAGCTCTAGGTACCCGACCCTACCCCAAGGCTACACTCCCTGGTGGTAGTCATTGATGCTGACAGCAGCACATCTGTAACAGGGTAGCAATAACCAGGCCACAGCAAGACACATTGGGCTTCCTGGTAGCCACTGACACTTGAGTCAATGTGACTGAGAAAGTCTGTCTGATTTCTGCCCAATAACCAAGTTTCTCCCCTTCCCCTTCTTTCTCTTCCTCTTCTTCCTCCTCCCCACTTCTCCTCCTCTTCTCTTTCATGTGTGTTGTGTGTATCACATATTTATGTGGTGCATGGATGTGACTGTGAGCACACATGTTTAAGGCAGAGCAAGGTGTTGAGTATCTTCCTCTGTCATTGTCTACCTTACTGCCTGGAGACAGAGTTTCTCCTGGTCATTTAGGCATGGCTGGCTGGCCAGGGAGCAAGCTCTCAGGGTGTATCTGCCTGTCTTTACCCTCTCCATCTCAACAAAATGCTAGATTATAAGCACACACAGCCACATGGGGCTTTTTAAGTCGATGCTGGGCATTCAAACTCAGGTCATCATGTTTGTGGAGCAAGCAAGCGAGCCATCTCCACAGTGCATCCAGATTACTTTATTTTAAACATGAGCCTGTCTCTTTTCTGCCTTAGACCTTGTCACAGCAGGTAGCATAGATAAGGCTGGAGTGGCCAGTGAATTCTGGAATAACCACTGCTGTCCTCTGCCTCTGAACAGAAGGCACACTTTTGTTCTGATGTTGTCTGGTTAGCGAAGCTGTGCTGTAAGTGACCCTCGCTTCACTTTCAAATCAGAAACAAGGACCACTTACCCTGCCTCAGGAGCAGGAGAGCTGTCCCGCGTGGCATTTGAGAAACTCGGCTCCTCTGTAAGGGAAGCTGCTGTGTGTCCATCTGCCAAATGTTTGTGTGTTTATATCTCGATGGGAACAATTCTTCATAAAGTGATTGTGATTGGTAGAGAATTTGTAGAGAGGTCCTTCAGCAAAGCAGCATGGGCTAGCCTGTGTATTATTACAGGTGATCCCCATTGTGACTTGGAAGCATCTGGGTGGAATGTGATTGCAGAGTAAGAATGAGCTCATGATGTAAAAGGAGGGTAACTGTGGGCATCGGAGGCAGTGTCCTCCTGTGGGCACAGAGTCCCACATGCAGACATAAGCATACCTGTTTCCTGGGACAAGCTCTCCACTTCCCCTTTCTTCTGAATGCTCTTCTCACTCAAGTGTCTGTCTAGTCCTGCTTGCACTGCTGATTTCCACATCCTCCTGGCCAGCCAATGAGGACAGTTAAGTGCTGTTTGTTGCAGTGTGCTTGATGGTAGCCTTTGCACTAGATTTAGGAGTGCAAGAAACAATCACCATAAGGTCTTTATAGCAGGAAGCATTTGGGGAGCATGGAGGAGCAGCTGGCCCAGGCCAGTTAGGCTGGCCAGCATTGCAGCATCAGGTGACCACTGTCTCCTTTTCTCTTCCCAGAATCATCGACCAGCGATTTGAGAAAGTTTCCTACTTTGTCTTTGGTGATTTCAACTTCCGCCTGGATTCCAAATCTGTTGTAGAGGTAGGTAAGCATGGGTTGCCTCCTCAGTCTGGGCATTGAGTTCCCTTGTGGCAGAACCAATTGTGGCAGAGAAATGCTATCTGTTTAGGCCACTTCCATGTCAGCATTTTCATAGTTTATGGTTTTTTGGTTTTTAAGTAAATTTTTGCCGGGTGGGGAGAGAGGGGTCTGTGCAGCTGTTCAGCCAGTCAGACATTGCTGGCTTTAAGAATAGGCATCCTGGCCAGGCGGTGGTAGCACACGCCTTTAATCCCAGCACTCGGGGAAGGCAGAGGCAGATGGATCTCTGTGAGTTCAAGGACAGCCTGGTCTACAACTCTGGTTTCAGGACAGCCAGGGCTAAACAGAGGAACCCTGTCTCAAAAAAACCAATCAGAATGGGCGTCCCTGCATCCTGCAGGCTCAGTGTCCCTTAAGAAAAAAGCCTGGGGAGCCCACTGTGTGTTGCTGCTCGAAACCTGCAGAGCTGGAGACTGTTGAGCTCTGGGCTGCTTTCCCCCTGGGATTTCCACTGCTTAATCCCCATCAAACACCAGGAAACTGGTTGTTCTTCTTGATCTGATCAATTGAGGCTCTCTTGGTTTGGGGAACTCTAAAGCTATGCTGACTGCTATGGGAACTCTAGGCTGGGTGCCAGGGTCCTGGAATCCCTAGAGTGACTGCAGCTGGCAAACTTTGGTGCCAAGACAAGTGATGTGACCACTGAGGTTGGAAGGAAGCTATGTGGCTAGGGTGTGCTGCCAAGGGAAGCAAGTCCTATGATGTTGGCTTAAGGGCTAGATTTCTCTGTAGTGAGGTCCATGCCTGTCACCAGATGCGTGCTGCCATCCTGAGCCTGCGACAGGTAACTGAGTGTCTGGCTTCTGGCTGCCGTTCTCTCCTGGTTCTTATATGATTAGGATGCACTACCTTCTCTGGTGGCAGAAAACTGGAGGTGCAAAAAGTGAGACACTTACCCCTTCCACCTTCCATACCACCCTGCCTGGGATCTCTCAAGCATGTGGCAACACTACGTAGTCCGCATGCAGGGGCCCAGTAAGAACAGCATGAAGTCATGCAGTACTTCATATTACTATCTTTGCATTAGTAGTCTTAGTTCCAAATCTTGTCACACATTAATCTTCCATCCTCAGTAGAAAATTATTTTTTAAAGACAGAGCTGAGCAGGTGTCTCACTTTGGTTGATAGAAATGACTGATGTGCCATTAAAATCCTTCTGTATTTAATTAAGCTGCAGGTACCTCATCAGGGCAGGCCCACAGGGTGCGTTTTGAACTTTGTAGTACAAGGGGTCTCTCTAGATGCCCAGTGGGTGCAGGGGTCTCCCCTGGATTTTCAATGGGTAGTGGGAAGGGGGATCCTGGGTGTTCAATGGCTCCTGGTAGCAGTACATCATTTTTTCTTTTATTCTTCTCTCATACATTACATCCTGACTGCATTTCTCCCCTCCTTCACTCTTCCCAGTCCCCTCTCCCCCTGATCCACTCCTCCTTTATTTCCCTTTAGAGAAAGAGCAGGTGTCTGAGGGATATCAACCAAACACAGGGCTATATCAAACATAGCAAGTTACAATAAAACCAGGCACAAACCTTCATATCCAGGCTGGACAAGGCAACCCATTAGGAGGAAAAGGGTCCCAAGAGCAGGCAAAAGAGTCAGAGACATCCCTCACTCCCACTGTTAGGAGTCCCACAAGAACACCGAGCTACACAACCATAACAAATATGCAGAGGACCTAGCTCAGATCCATACAGGGTCCATGACTGTCACTTCAGTCTCCTTGAAGTAGCAGTGTATCTAAACCCAGCCATGAAGGAGGAAGGAATACCGAGGAGCAGATGCAATTTCTAAAACAGTCAGATTAAAGACTCATTTCCCATACCTCCACTTTCTTGTTCCCAAGCTTCTGAGCGGAGTTGCCAACTTGCTGCTGGAGGCCAGCAATTCTGCTGCACACAGTGGTTTCCCTGCCTCCCCAGAGGCCTCCACTTGGAGCAAAGTGGCCATTTTGAAAGTAAAGGACTCTTAGAAGGCCAAAGCTGGTCAACCTAGAGCTGTCTGTGGTTGGGAAAAGGTCAGAGAATCTTTTTCACAGTAGACTTTTCTTTCTGGGTGGAACGCAGGCTATAAGAAAAAGCAGCCCATCTGGACAGACTCAGAATGGCTGATGAGCACTCTCTGAATCTGCCCTTCAGGATGTGTTTCTGTGGGAGGACAGTTTGGCTGTGTGGGTGAGTGGACACGTGGATATTCCATACTGTAGGTCTGAATGCAGAGTCAGGAAGGAGCTCACCAGGGCCGTTAGCTTCATTGCCTGCCCTTTGCCTCCTTATGGCACCTGGGCAAGGGTTGGGCAGCTTCAGTTATCATAAACCCAAGGAAGCTAGTAAGTGCCCAGGGGTTCATCAGCCTGACCTGTACCATATAGCTTCCTGTTAGCTTCCAGCCAGAGCTGTGTTGGCTACTTTGCTGAGCTGGAGGCAGGGATACTGGGGAGGCCAAGTGATGATGGAGCTGGAACAGGCACCAAAGAGTGGTGGGTGGGAGACACCCTGTCTTCCAGCTACCGCTCCTTTGCTGTGGGTCACACCATGATGGGGACTGGAGAATGGGACTGTGGGACTTAGAGAAAGCACCAGGAGATCTCACCTAACTGCGTAGTCCCCTTTCCTCAAGCTATGAATGGTCTGTGTCTCATGGTTGTTGGCTGCCTCTGTGAATAGTCAGGCAACCCATGGAAATCAGTGTTGCCTCCTGGTCTGTCAGAGAACTGTTGGCCTTTATGGTAATCTGCCAAGTGTTAGGTGTGTCTGGAGCACTGGCCTAGCTGCACTGGCCTTCAAGGAGGGTGAGTTTTTGTCACCTGATGGCAGATTGATGCATCTGCAAAGCCACCCAGGTCTCCTGCAGCCCTCACTGTTTGGAGAGAGGTTTTCCAAGAGGAGGGGTGGCTTCTGGGACAGGACTCTCTCTAAGTTTCTTACGTGAAGTTCCTACTTCACTGGAACTGTCACTGAACACAGCCTGCTGCTAACCCCTTTTAACTGGACATTGTCCCCATTCATGCCTGAGCAGATGGTGTTGACTAATGCAGCTACATTGCCTGTACTATCCCTTCCAGAGTGCATGGCCTTGAGTATCAGGCAGCCAAGGAGCCAGAGTTCAAGTTTCATTTTCCCCAGGTTTTACAGAGCCAAGTAGTTGGGCTACCCAGTGGCAGATCTGGATGAAGTTGTAGCACAAATTCAAGGACCTTTGTATTTGAGAAAATGTCCTGTGGACTTGCTATCATGTTGCACTGGAATTCAGCCTCCTCGCCCGTGAATAAAATGTCTATATTCATCTTGGAAACACAGTTCTGAGATGTCCACAACACAGGGTCTCCAGCCAAGCCCCAACTTTCTTTACAGTGCTTCATCTGTGGCATTATCCCACTCCAGCTGGGGCAGCACTGTGTGTGATCTGCTGTACAGACTCCCACAGAAGGGACAGGCAGTGTCTCCAGGCACAGGGAGAGGCCCCAAGAGTGTAGCGGAGGAGTCTCTCCAGCCATAAGCAAGGTACCTGCAGTGTCAGGTCTCTGTGCCGCCTCCCTCCAGGTATTAGACGACACATAGTACCAGGGCTATATACACTGTACTTCACTATGGGCTCTGGGCCTTGCCTGAGGAGGGACCACTGCAGCCACTTGTCATCTATTGTGGGGTGCTTTTCTTATGCACAGCTTGGCCTGCATTTCCACATGGGGGCTTCTGGCATTGATGTGCTGTGGTCATATCAGCTTTGCTTGGCTTCTATGAACAGCACCCTCTACAGTTTTCTTCTCAAAGCCACTGGGATGGGACAGCATGACCTACATTGCTGTAACACCCTCAAGGAAGCCTCCTCCTCAGGGAGGCCCCCAGAACAGGGCATTGAGATCATTGGCACTGGGCATTTGCTGACCTGGCATGCCACCCACCTGATGACTCGGGCTCTTCCCAAAAATCACTAATTCTGGTGTGCGGCCCTTCCCACTTTGGAGGCCTGGAGTTCCTTGTCTCTGCTATCCATCTGACACGTGCAAAGGAGTGGGAGGAGAATCAGTAGTTTTTAAACTGGATTATTTGCTCAATAAGTAAATGAATATATCTTAGATCTGTGCCTTAATTCCTGGAGGGCTTTTGAGGCTCGTTAAGACCTGTGGATAGCTGCTATTCATCCAGCCAGTAAAGCTTACCTTTATATTCTGAATATACTTTATCACATAAGTAAAGCAAACAATCAAGAATGTGGGAAACAATGCATTAGTGTAGGTTTTAAAAGCCCATTTAGTGAAGCAAAGGTTGTAGCTCTGAAACTAAAGAGCCTGTATTCTGGTGATTTTACCGTTACCAGCCCAGTGTGAAAATTCCATGGTCCCACTACCCCACTTGAGAAATCTGTCCTACCACACCTCCCAGGCTCACTGCTCTGTCTTCTGTCTTGCTCTACCACATGTGCTCCTCTGCCAGGAAAGAAGGCAAAGCCTCCACCCCACCTAGAACTGCCTGAGGACTCACCCACAGGGACCATGCAGCCGAGCCAGGCCTGCTTCCTGGAGCACTGCCTATGGCGGCGTCTGTGGGCCTTTGAGTGGAACCCCAGTTCATAGACATGGCCGCTTGGAATGCCAAGCCCTTCCTTCCTCTCTTCACTTCTCCTCTCCGTGCTTGTTCTTCCTGGAAGGGCCTCAGATGCCTCAGTGTACATACCTGCAGACCAGCCGTGACCTTAGGGAAGACCATAAGTGTTCTTAGGGATTCTGTACCCTCGTTTCTGGCAGGTCACCTCCAAGTGACTTCCCTATTTCTGAAAGGCAGAGAAAAAAACAAGAAGAGTGAGAAATCAGAAGAGTCACAGACAGACACAGTCATAAGTAGAAAGGTCTGCTGCTCAGGACACAGGATGCCCTGCAGGGAGGTGTGTGTCTTCTGGAAAATCAGTCCTGGGGCTGTGGGTGGGCTGGTGCCTGAGATACC